TCTTTTTTGTCGTATATTGTATTCAATTCAATTATGTCTCCTCTAGTTCTTGTGTCGTTTCGTGAATATTTTGGCTAGTTTCGTCGTCAAACTGTGAGTTATCGTCTAATTCATATGGTGAATTTGTTTCGTCATAGTGTTGGTCATAAGGGTATGTTTGGTCACTTTCGTAGGAATCAACATTGTAAACTTCTTCAGCAATAAAATTCATTTTTTGATTAGGGTCCCGTTGGAAATGATTATAGGGTTGGGGGTTAGTGTTTCTAGTAAAATTGTGTGTCTTTGTTATACCGCTCATAGGGGTAGCAGGTTTGAAATTAGATGAACTGCCTTGTGGAGGATTTTTCCAAACATTACGAGGTTTTCCAAATACTTGGCTGTTCGTGAAATATTTTTGTGTCGGTGCGTTTTGTCTGGGTTGAATTTGGATTGGGCCCCTAGGAAATTGGGGTTGATTAAAATTTTGTTGAGACGAAAATTGTGATTGATTGAAATTCTGAACTGGAAATTGCGGTCTAGTAGCACTGAAATTATGGGCGTTATTTTGGAAAGATGATCTTGAATGATTTTGGAAATAATTTTGTGGTACTTGGGCTCGTGGTTTATTCATTTGAGGTCTCGGAGCAAAGCTAGAATGCGATTTCTGTAAATATCTAATATTGTTGTCTTCAATAATATATTTTTGTGCTTCGGCTAGATTATTTGGTTTCATTGAACGAATCATCGAGCTATGAGGTTCTCTCAGACCGACAAGTAAAATGTGCAATCCATGTGAATCATACAAAGCTTTTTTGCTTCTTTTTATCTCGTCATTATTTTCGTGCAAGTTTATGTAATTGTGAAGTAAATTGAGGGTTGTCTGTACTCGAGAATGAAACTGTAAGGAATTTTCATTGGAATTTTGTCTAAGTGAGCCTAAATCAGAAATTAAACTGCTTTCGTTTCTCTGATCACCGAAATGAGTGATCAACAAGTCTTTAATGGTTGGCCAATTATAAGTGCCACTAAGAGAGAATACTTCTTCGGCCGGCCCGGTGAGCTTGGAAAGTACACTTTGTAGTAAAATTTTGTTTTGAGAACAATTTTCAAATCCTGGCCGTACATCGTAATATTCATTCAATAAATCACTGACCGTTTGGAGGTACCTGTAGAGTCTACAGGGATTTCCATCGAATTCAGGAACAATTTTTAGTAGTTTCATATCGAATACGTTTGGTGAGTTTGGCATGTTTAATGAGATTGATTCTATAGATTTTTTGATTGATTCCGATTGAGACTGATTGTTAAGGTTCAAGGATTGCAAAGATTGACTAAGAGTTTCTTCTAGTTCCGCACTGATACCACTAGTAATTTCTGATTCGGATTCAGGATCAGAGGAAATCAATGACATAAGGAAATAGCAAATGAATATAAGGAATCAATGAGTGATTTACATGAAGTTCCAATTTTTCATTCTTCTTCGATGGTTGCCAAGAGTTACTGGATCCTCGATGGACGGCTTCTCTGGTACTTCTCGATCACTGGTTCTTCTCGATGAAGAGTTGATACCCAAGGATATCTACGATAGATGCCTTCGAGTATCCTACCGACTGCGCCACTTATGTTTTTTGGAAAACGAAAAACGTTTTTAAAAAACAAGATTTACTTTTTATTCAACACAACCGATTCGTGTGAACCTTACAATCAGAATGAATTAGTTAAATGACATGAATATGTGAGAAACCTGGAAATGCATATCGAATGAATTTTGTCGAGTCGGGTAATTTGCAGCGTCTGCATCTTCGGGTTGCGAACGGCTGGTTCAACGATCAAGAAGAAATTCGGGGAGGTTTCTACAGCGAAGAGCTTCAGAAAGTGGAATATCCCAACATCTACTTGGTTGAAAAAGTTTTACAGCGACGTGGAAACAAAATTCGTGTCAAGTGGCTAGGCTTAGATAATTCTCATAATTCATGGATTGATAAAAAGGAACTTCTGTGAAATACATTTATATTTTTTGGAATAAAACAATTATTCAGATGATTTCATATTTATTCATTACGTAATTCCTAGTGGGTACAATTATTCGTATGCTAATTTCTATTGTACATTATTCAGGTCTTCAGAAAAAACGCCAGGGTATATGTGGATGAATTCCAATACTAAACTGATATTCTCACTACTTGGGTTCTCCTGTGGCCTGACAAGATTAAGTGCATTGTTCACTACATCTCCATCTTGATTTTGAAGAGCTCTCTGCAGAACTGTGAGGTAATTCGTAAACTGCAGTCTCCCCATCATTTTCATTTGATATTTGATGAGCGGCAATAGAGTCCACAACTTGCAAAGGGATTCATAACCCAAGAAAACATAATAGTTATTTTTCTGAATCTTAACAACACTCGTTTCCGAAATTTTCATAAAGTATATCTGGAAGGATTCACCATCTTACGAGTTCGGATGGTCACTAGGATAGAAATAATTTGTAATGATTTCTTGATATTTAAGAAAATCCATCCACTCACGATCATTGAAAGTGATTACATCATTCTTGAGTCCTGATATCTGGATGCAGGGCCTGAAGCCAAATTCATAGGATAATCCTATGGAAACGTACTTGCTTCTTGATTTATTCAAAGGCAATCTCTTCTCTCCCAACAATATTGATTTATGTTTATTCTCATGATGTTCTTTCAGATTATATCTAACTCCCGAGTCACCGGTAGGAACACTTGATGTATAGTAGCTCTGCCCACTCGAATTCACAGTTGATTTCGACAAGTCCATTTCAGAATAATATGTGTTTTACAACTAGAATTCGAGAACTGAGTGAAGGATCTCATTGTGATAAGTTATATACTTTTGAATTTGTGAAGTGGGGGTTCTTAATTTCTGGTTAATCAAAAATAATTAATCACATAATTATCACACAATTGAAAATTATGAGTCTGATGAATCCATTAATTCATACACAAGATGAATCATTACGTTAACTAATGATTACTCACTATTAATTAAGAATAACTCATGGATGACTCATTCTGCACATGTTTTCAATTGAAGAATATTAGTTCATTGATATTTATTGTTGATAATTAATATTTAATGACTGCACCTGTTCTCAATTACTCGGTACATATAGTTATGGATGAAAGTCAATTAAAATCAATTGACTGAATCATTCAATTATACATACATACAATCCCTACTTCCATAGTTTTGTATATAGTAGGAATATAAATTCGCCTACTTTCATACATCAGATATGTCCTTTCCTAATTCACAATGGATGTGGACGAAACATTTTCTGACTCCGATGAAATCGAATTAGACGGAGAACAAGTGATCAAAAACCAGTATAGTGTCAACAGTGTTCAGTTCATAAATGACTTTTCACAGCAGTTTGTCTGCATGGTGCAACATTTTTATTACATCACCATGTTGGAGAACAAAAAGTTCTGCACGAGCTGCTATTTCAACATTGTTGCAGATTACGACAGGAATATCGACAGTTTCCAGGAGTCCTCACACATCACGAAATATCCAGCAGGCTTAGTGGACGAAATAAAGTTTTGTTATGTTTGTAGAGATGCTCTATTCACGTTTTGCTTGACAAGGTTTTGTCTATTATGCAATAACTGAAAAACTTTTGGTGTAGTGTCTTTCATCATGTTCAAAACTGTTTTCACAACATTTTCTGTATATACTCTATAATAATAACCAATAATTTATATCGATTCATCTTAATTTGAATAAATATCAATTCTCCATTATATTTTTTGAGGCATTTTGTCTTCTAAATACCTTGAATAATTTTTTTTCAGCGCCCTACTTCTTGCCCGATACGGACCTGCCCCTATCATGATTCCATTGAAAAGACTTCTACATATCTTTCATAGATCGAGTGAATATTTGGCGAAATGTTACAGCTAATGCCATCTGTTATGGAAATACTCCAACAGCCAACAAAAATCAATACTTCGTTCTTGTTTCACAGAGACCATGAATTGACCGTTTTCATAACGTTTTCATGTGAGACATCTGCCCGCATATATTACGCATGTCTGGGTCAAGAATATTTGAGCCAGTATAATTTTATATCGACGCGCTGGGTCGGCCAAGAGATATAAAGTTTTTTGAAATATTTCTGGAGTTTACTAAAGATAAAGTGTTTTGTTCTGTGTTTCGTTCAGTTTTTTCTTGAAGTGTATGTGATAGTCAATGGATACTGTTCATGTTGGGTAGAAATGTTAGTTATTTTCATGAGCATACAAATTGATCGAATAATATATGACATATTTGGTAATGATTTTGAGAAGTGAGTAATAAGTTGATAGGATAATACCTACCGAGGATAAAACTTTTTGAGATGATCTGAACTATATAGGTTTCAGTATTTCTGATTCCAAATTCTCCTATATTTGTTCAAACAATTTTTTTATGTCATATCAATGA